GCACAGTACTGGCGATTGCAGTCACTTGGGGAATGAATCATCGGACAGAAGATCTTCCTCTCTGTCTCACCTCCTCTCTGTATATCTACCTTTCCAATAAAATAAATCAATCTTAAAAAAATGTTTTTTTTTTCTTCATGTGTCATGGGATGAAAGAATTTAGGTATAATTATTGCCCAAAGGGCAAATAAATTCATGCATGACACTTTGTATGTTTGCACTGTGTAAAATCAACAATGTTCCAAGTGTCAGTCTTGTACACAGTGTAGCATCTACTGGTATGGCAAGTGGCTCCGAATGTCGAATCCCACATTGACTTGACTGCCATGCTTTGCCTACATCTACCAGCAAGGTTTGTGTGTGATGGATGTAATGGCAATAACCAGAAGCCAGAGTGGAAAATAGAAACAATAATGAAACATGAGGAATTATAAAAAAGGGAACATCCATGCAAATATGCCTGAAACGTTAGGAGACCTGTTGCCAAAGTCAAGTGCCGCTTGACTATAGATATTGATCAGCTACTGTACGGCAGCACCCATTCATCTTACAAATTATCCCATCAAAACTTTTTGACAATTCCACTTTGACAAGCGTAACTTCGGGTGGTAAAATCATGATGTGTAAGGCATGAGTTTTGTATAACTAAACTTGTTAAAGTATTACAGTCACTGAATGTCACTGTTGTATTTATGTGAACACTGATTTGAAGCGCTGCCAGTATTAGGGGGAGTAATTCTATGGAGACATACTAATTCTTATTGATTGACAGAAATTGGTGTTTCTTGCCTTCCTTTAGGCAAACCACTAATTATATTATTAATCAAAGGTAATAACATCATTTGTATTCCCTTTTCAGTAACAATGAAAAGATTAAAATGCAAAATTATATTTAGAAGGTACAGGGTTTGCAATTATTTCCCCAAAACCTTGAATTAAGTTGAAATAAAATTTTTTTAAATGTATCTTTAAGTTATAGAAATACTGCTAAAAGTTTAAAAACTGTTTGAATCAGAAGTCAAACTGAAAATTGAATTGCTGATCATTGGTTTTAAATAAAAGTGATTTAGATTCCATATTTATTGTTTTGTTTAAAAAAACTAACAAATGGTATTAAAAACCTGTATATAGGGCCCGGCGCGGTGGCGCAAGTGGTTAAAGGTCCTCGCCTTGCACGCCCGGGATCCCATATGGCCTGTTCTAATCCCGGCAGCCCTGCTTCCCTTCCAGCTCCCTGCCTGTGGCCTGGGAAAGCAGTCGAGGACGGCCCAAAGCTTTGGGACCCTGCACCCGCATGGGAGACCCGGAAGAGGCTCCTGGCTTTGGATCGGCATTGCATCGACTGTTGTGCTCACTTGGGGAGTGAATCATCGGACGGAAGATCTTCCTCTCTGTCTCTTTTATAAAAATAAATCTTAAAAAAAAACCCTGTATATAGAGAAAATTTCTAATTGATTAATCTAACATCTAATATTCCTGTGATTGCCAAGATAAGGTGAAAAAAGTCAAATTGGTAACATGATTTAGTGTTACACCAAGAATTACTTATGATTGCCATTCAAAAAAGTCACATAAAATATGAATTTATTTTTAAATCATGTATAGTTTTTTAATAATATCATTTTTTGGCACTGACGCGAAACTTATCTTTAAATTTTCCATGCATCTTTTAGCATACCCTTGTACTCATATATAAATTTAAGAGTCATGTGGACTATTTAATACAGCTAAACTTTGATGAGTTGGGTTTATTTTAAAGATTTATTTTTATTATTTTTTATTGGAAAGGCGGATATACAGAGAGGAGAGACAGAGAGGAAGATCTTCCGTCCGATGATTCACTCCCCAAGTAAGCGCAATGGGCCGATGCTATGCCGATCCAAAGCCAGGAGCCTCTTCCGGGTCTCCCATGCGGGTGCAGGGTCCCAAAGCTTTGGGCCATCCTCGACTGCTTTCCCGGGCCACAGGCAGGGAGCTGGAAGGGAAGCTGGGCTACTGTGATAGAAACCGGCACCCATATGGGATCCTGGGTGTGCAAGGCGAGGACCTTAACCACTGCGCCACCACGCCGGGCCCGTAAACTTTGATGAGTTGTTAAAAAAAAAAAAAAAACAAATTGAACCAAAAGTAAAATAAGACATTTGACTTTCAGCCTCCCATAGCAAAGGCATGCTGTTGGGCAGGTGCTTGCTGTATTCTGAGACCCAGGATTTTCTGTGAAGTTTTGTGTCCTTTAGTCTTATTACTCAATCCTCCTCACACCCCAAAGCTTTGTCCCTCTCTGATGTTGGTAAATGCTTGATCCAAAAATTTTCCTAGTGTTGAAGTATGGTCCAGTGGTCCCTTGAATTCATCTAAATCTCATCACAACCCTACACAAAAGACCCTCCGACGATCCTTAGCCTTGCCCATGGGGGAAAAGTGGGCATAAAACAAGGACTTCTTTTCTTCACCATTAAAGGCCTTTTGTCTCGATCTCTGATCTTGGAACCTCCATGGAATGGTTTTTCATCACCTGTGTATTTCAGGAGAAAAAGAGACTTGCACATGCTTAGGAAGTTGGGGGGAATTGTGGGCATTGCCAGGCATGTGAGCGAGCACGCACATTCATTTCAGCAGCTGTAGGCTTAGGCTGGATCTCAAGTATCTCCAGGAGCTTCAGTAAGAGCTGAGTCCGTGATTCCTGTACCATCAAGACCCAACAGTTCCCCGATGCACCATCCATCCGTCCCCCTGTTGCCTTCAAAGAGTTGATGTTGTTGATTCTTGCTGCTTTTTCTGAATCCAGTTTAATTTCAATTGATCCTCTTCCCATACAAAGATTGATGAGAGATGGAATTGAGTACCAAAGCTGATAATTGTGCCTGCTGTAGTATCTGTGGCTTGGGACTCCATAGCCTGGCTTGTCCAATCATGATGCCGTAGCTTGGCCATACCACAGTGCCTGAGACCTTACAACTTCGTAAGCAGACTCATGCATGGCACGTCTCTCTAAGGGAGCTCTAAGTGCGGTGAGCACATGCGGGGTTACAGTTTTCAGTACGGTGCTGGTTTCTTGTCGATCATCTTGACTCCAAGACAGAAGATTAAATTTAGTGTTGGCCATCTGTTCTCTACCCCCAGCAGTCTTTTGGATTCTCTCCCTGTAAGTGATCCCCTTGTTTATACTCTTGCTTGAACTCAGAACCCTTTGTCTTCATGAAACTCAATCATCATCTTTGATCCCTCACAAACGTTAAAAATTCTGGAGAGGTCTCACTTAACTTATTACCTTCATCATCCTAGATGGAGATAAACTTCATTTTTTATACTATTTGTGCTCCTGTTTGTAATTGGAAAAGTTTTTTTTGTTTGTTTGTTTTTAGGGGAGGGGTTTCCTACAGCAGTTTCCATGTCATCTACATTGTAGGCATACCTAAAAATATTGTGACCTTCACATGAAAATATATATAACCTTAAATAACATCTGTTGTAACTGTATTTGTTCATTAGTTCTTGCAATGATCTTGTGAGGCAGGCATTACTGTTATACTTAGTAGCAGCTGAAAACATTAATTGTAGTTAATTGTGTTTATGAAAAGGAATTCAGAATGGCTATCAGTGGAGAACGTGCATTATAGTGTGTGTGTGTGTGTGTGTGTGTGTGTGTGTGCAAATGTGAGCGAAACTTGCCCTTCTGCAATCATGGTTGTGAAACACAAAGGCGTTTCATAAAGTTTTTGGAACTTTATGTGACAGCAGCGTCCCAGATGGCTACTCCTTCATAGTGGCCTGAGGAAGACAGTGGAAGATGGCCCAAGTGTTCAGGGCCCTGCAATCACATGGGAGATCTGCGTGATACTCCTGGCTCATGATTTCATCCTGGCTCAGACCTGCCCATTGTGGCCATCTGGCATATGAACCAGCAAAGAGGAAATCTCTCTCTAGCAATGACTTTCAAATAATTACATAAATCTTTAAAAATTATGTATGAATTTCAAAATGTTTTACACCAATATTTTCCAGATTTTTTGCAGTTATGTCCTAATTGTTGTTTTGGAAGGTGACATAACAGCTTTTATTATTCAGTAACCAAGATGCAAAAAGAGATGGATAATCCAAGACTAATTCGCAGTCAATGTAGTTAAAAGTTGAGCTCTTAAATTCTTCTTTCTGCTGTGCTACTTAATTGTGAACATCTTCCACACTGTGCATCTCAGTGTAACAACCCTACGACAATCCCAAATCAACAACCTGGCCATGTCTTACAATGAATTTCTTGGGCTGAGATCAGGAAGTACCTGCATAAGAGACTTCAGCTCTTGAGGCCAGCTGAAGCAGCCTGGTCTCTGTGGCCAACCCCCATTCCACCTTGGCTAGTTAGACAAAAGATGCCCAAACACCCAGTTCCAAGAATCCTCTTCATTCAACATAAATCAGGACTTATTCATGCCAACAGGCCTAGGAGGTTAGTGAGCAAATTTCTTGGCAACAACACAATGTATTTTCAATGGATGTGGAGACTCGGTGCTTTCCCATTGAATGAATAAATTGAAGTCAAAATCAGTGGGGTTAATGTCAATAGCATGATTTAGTCTTAGTGTTTATGAAGAACTTAAAATAGAATTTTACATTTAGAAATTGCTTTCCTGTCTTTTATTCTAAGTTATCAAGACAGTTCTATTCTGGGAAAGCTGCCACACTGAAGCCAATGACTTATTGAAACTAAAAAAATAAATGAACGGATGTTAGGCTTGCAAAGAAAAATTAGAGAATGGCAATCAATGTCATTTGATTCTAAAAAGAATTCGAGGGGACCACACCAAGATTTATGTCTTGGCAGCTACATGAAAAAGTGACTATTTTTAATTCAAAATGTCTAATCGATTCTATGATGCAAGTGAAGGTTTCATCAACACTGACTTAGTGCCACGACCAGAGTGTTTCTCAGCTCTGCTCCCATTCTGAGCCAATAATTCATTTTCTACATTTGCTAATACATTCTATGCTTCTCCTTTCAGGATCTGTCCAGTCCGTGGCAAACTACTCAAAAGCTGAAGACCTAGAAGAGACTCTGTGACTTTCTGAAAACAGCTGTCCACAGGTGAAAACAGACTCAGGTGAGAACTGCTGGGTTTCCCCTCTGCTGAGTTTTCATAGCATGAAAGCCTCTGGATCAATTCCTGGTGTATCATTGATAACTCTTGCATCTCCCAGCCCTGGAAGGTCTCTCTTGCCTCTTGTAATCCCTTCATACAATTAAAGGTAAGTGAGGTTTATTCTGTCTTCAAAGAGCCTGTCATGTGATGAGACTGTGTTATGCTCTATATTATACTATACCTACCATCTTAAAGGGAATTGTATCATCATAAATAAAATTCTAGGATGCATTCTGTCTGTACAATGCAAGGAAGGGAGTATCCCCCAGTGATATGTGGACTGTAGGGCAGTGTTTTATGAGGGAAAGATTCTTGGAGATTAATGGCCAATGTTTCCCTGATGGAACAAGTCTTTGGCAAAGTCTTGAAGAGGAACCATCCACACATAAAACACAAGTTAAGAGTGTGTGTGAGGGATGACAAGCCATTTTCCATTGCTTCAGTGTCTGTATGGGCAGAGGCTACTAGGGCCATGAGCCAGGCACCTGCACACACAGCGTGCTGGGGTAAGGGACTTAGATCTTTGTACACTGCACAGGAAAGGCATGATGAACTGAAGGCAGGAAATGAACTGGGTAGTTTCAAGTTTGCTAAATTACAGTGTTATCGTGTGTGTGTGTGTGTGTGTGTGTGTTGGGGAGGGGTGACTTTGAGAGGCCCACTTCTGGAATTAAGAATCCTGTTGAAGATTTGGATATCATGGCAGCCATTACTGGATTTTGGTTCCACGATATTCATAAAGGCAACTGGAGCCAAGTGGTTTGGGTTTGAAGTATGTCCCTACCGCTGTGTGGTCATGGACAACTCGTGACTCTCCCAGCCCCATTTTATTCATGTATACAATAGTATTGAAAATAGAGTGCTCTGATTCTCTGCCTTTTAAATAAACAAATACATAAATAAATATCATTTTTTTAAAGTGAGGAGAAAGTGGAGCTCTCTCATCGGTGGCTTTGAAAATCAGCAAATCGATCACAATAATTGGTAAAGCACACTGCACTTCATAAATGTCAGCTCTCACGTCATAAAGAGAAAGAGATGGATGTGTAGGATGGAGTATTAATGGCATTCCTGGACAACAGAGCCACTTCTTCCAACCTAAAATCTTATAAACAATTGTTTTTACTCCAGCAAGGATTCACATTAAACAAACCAAAAGGCATATCAAAGTGAGAAAAGGGATGTGCGTGGTGTTTTATGAAAGAAATCTTGACCTTATTGACATGCTGGCTTTCATTTTACAAGGTTGATGAGCTGGTGCAGTCTTGTGTTAAATGAGGTGCTAGAAAGGTGCAAAAATGGAGTCATTGTTCCTTTGATGTGTTCACAGATGATGAGAAACTTTTGGGACAGCGGGTAGCTGTGGATTCTGTCAGCATTTGCAGGGCTGTATTGCCCTGAGGTACTTAATCGTCTTGCAGATTTCTCTGCCTGGTTTTGTAAGCTGTCGTAGTATCTCTTCATGCCTAGCTGAGGACAGTTCAGTAACGTGCAGATGTGAGGTAGTTCATTGAATTTGATCTGTTTTTATGCATTTTACCTTTTTAAGATCGTTTTGATGTATTTAGGATTTGTATTTCATTTATTTGTTCTGCATTTAAATCCTCGATTTATTTGGAAATATGTCAAGATAAAAAAAAAAGGATAATTGGGAGCTTAAAATAATGTGAAAACAATCAGCCGGAGTTGTATGACGTCCATTTTCTTAGGACTGCGAACTCCCTGAGCTCGGCAGGTGTTGTCTCTCTCTGCCTTCTATGGACCTACGTCTCTCTGACCAAGCCAGGTATAGCCCAGCCTTGAAGATGGAGTGTCGGATACTGTGAACTTCTTGGTGGGATCAATGCTATCGTCATCCTAAAATCGTTATAAAATTACAGTGCAAATTTTACAGGAATGTTTCTATTGTGAATTTAACAGTCTTCTCTAATTTTAGTCCCGTGGCAGTCTATTTTTAGCTCAAGCAATTAACAGAGAGGAAACAGAAATTGTTTCAAGGGAAAGTACTTATGAAATAGACTAGTAGACTGAAATTATTTAAATCCATAAAAGGCAGTAGAAAATAATTAGGAAAGCCAGACATCATTATCATCATCTTCACGATAATTATAATAATTATTTTGCCACAAATTTTCAAGTGTCAGGACAAATGTAATAGAAAACATCACTCTTTAAAAAGTTGTGTGTTCAGGGCCCGGCATATTAGCCTAGTGACTAAAAGTGTTAACTTTGCATGTGCCGGGATCCCATATGGGCACTGGTTCATATCCCGGCTGCTCTACTTTCCTTCTAGCTCCTGGCCTATGGCATGGGAAAGCAATGGAGGATGTGTGTTCAACATGTTAACTATAAATTTGCAAAATGAAACACACAAAAAAATCTAGGTGACTTTTAGTTTGATCATAATTCTTAGTTACAGCACCAAAAGAAAAAGATTAATGCACTATTTTATCAAAATTAAATAATGTCTCTCCTTTTCTAAAAGATTTATTTATTTTTATTGGAAAGACGGATTTATAGAGAGAAGGCAATTCAGAGAAAAAGATCTTCCATCCACTGGTTCAGTCCCCAAGTGGCCACAAGGACCAGAGCTGAGCCCACCCGAAGCCAGGAGTCAGGAGCTTGTTCTGGGTCCCCACACAGGTTCAGGGTCCCAAGGTTTTGGGCCGTCCCTGACTGCTTTCCCAGGCCACAAACAGGGATCTGGATGGGAAATGAAGCAGCTGGGATATGAACTGGTGCCAATATGGGATTCCAGTGCATGCAACACGAGGACTTTAACCACTAGGTTTCGGCACTGGGTCCAATAATGTCTCCTGTAAACAACAACAACAACAAATTGGAATAAAAAACCAGCCACAGGCTGGAAGAAAATCTTTTCCAAACATATATGGAATGTATAAAGATCTCAGAAAACTCAACAATAGCAAAAATTTTAAGATTCGGTTGAAAATGGACAAAAGGTCTGAACAAAGGATCCTCAACCAAAGTGATCTATAAATGACGACGAAACACATCAGATCCTCAACATCGTGTGTCATAAGGGATCTGAAGATTAAAGCAGCCGTCAGATATCAAAACGATCCTGTTAAAATGCCGGAATCTAAACACTGATGACCTTAAATGTCATTGAGGGTATAGAGAAGCAGAAAGCACGAGTGTTGGTATGCGAAATGATAGATTCACTTTCGAAGAGAGAATGGGAGTTTTCTACAAAAATAATTACACTCATCATGTGATCCTGCAGTTATGCTCTCTGGTGTTTACCCAGAGGTACGTTTTATTTACCAGACTCCCGCAGGACTGTGTACAGCATAGATAGACCATCAAAACTTGGAAGTACCCATGATGCCCTTCAATAGATGAATGGATAAATGGGAAATGCAGTTCTCCAGTGATTAAAAATAGATGAGCTATCAAGTCAGAACATGACATGGAGAAAGCTTAAATGCTTTTTGTGAAGCGAAGATGCCAATTTGAAAAGGCACGTGGGATGATTCCTAATTGCATGCTGTGATGGGAAAGACGAAACTGTGGCTGTGGCGGCAGAGTAGTGGTTGGCCTGAGCTCCAGAGGAAGCACAGGGGCTGTTTGTACAGCACTGTAGTGATGGACACATATCCTTGTATATTGATTAAACCTATAGAACCATACAATGCAAGAGTGAACCCTAAATTAAGCATACACTTTAGTTAGTAGTAATGTATTGCTATTACCTTAGCAGTGTACAAATGTACAACATTAATGCAAGCTGTTAAAAATAAAGGAATTCCAGGCCCGGCGTGGTAGCCTAGTGGCTAAAGTCCTCACCTTGCATCCACCAGCATCCCATATGGGTGTCAGTTTGAATCCTGGCTGCTCCATTTACCTTCCAGTTCCCTGCTTGTGGTCTAGGAAGGGAGTGGAGAATGGCACAAAGCCTTGGGAACCTGCACCTGCGAGGAGACCCAGAACAAGCTCCTGCTCCTGGCTTCGGATTGGCTCAGCTCAGGAAGTTGCAACTACTTGGAGAGTGAACCAGCAGATGGAAGATCTTTCTGTCTGTCTCTCCTTCTCTGTGTAAATCTGGCTTTTCAATAAAAAGAAATAAATCTTTTAAAAATAGATGTATTTTCAAAAAAAAAAAAAGAGAAAAGGATTTCTAGTTCAATGGTGGAGTTTAAAGTATATGGGAACCCTCTGTAGTTTTTGTTGTTTTTTCTGCTAGCCTAAAACATCTTAATAAATACTCTATCAGTTTAAAAAATGAGGTATTTCTGTTGCATTGATGACTTGTCCAGGGAGTGCCTTGAGTTCTATATGATGTTTCAGGCACCGAGCCAGCCTTCCTGGTAACTTCTGGTGCTTCATGGTGGGTTTCTGATGCTCAGCAATTTTAGGAGCCAAAGTAGAATAGGATGGAATTGTATTGCCTAGTTTCACATGAAGGGGTAGAGCTAGTTGTACCCACACCTCCAGGAAATGATTTCCAGGAAAAGTGTACCTCGGGCGGAGAGGCATAGGATTATGTCTTGTCGTTCATTGGGTTCCTGGAACCTTACGGTGGTGAATCAGAAACACTAGGCCTTTTTGTTCAGTCATTTCTATGGATTAATGAATATCCGTATCCCCTTTCTCCCACAAAAAGGAATCAGTTAGAATGGGCCAAGTGGGGTAGAAAAGATTTTATCTTTCAGAATGAAGTAATGTCAGGCAAAGACATGGAAGATTTAGAACTTGTGGAAACTATCTCTTGCATTATGTGTTTTTAAAATCACAAGAGAATCTTAAGAATTTATGTTATTGTGTGATATAGACCACGATGGAGATACTTATAAATTCTATAATAAATCTGAACACAATCTTTGGTTTTAGACCCCCACTTCAAAACTCTATCCTGTCTCGGTTGCTCATCTCAAGCAAATTTCTGAAAATTCTTTAGTTGGCTTCATCATGTGGAGAAAGTTCCTATTTACCCAATG